CTGTTCAAGATCTAAGCCGCTGCGCAGGTCTATCGGCTGTCCTACTCTCAATCCTGATAAAGCAGCCTTGTGACTCATACGAGGAGATCCTCCGTAGAGCTCCAGGAAATCAATCTTTCCTGAACTGGTGACCTGCCAGTGACACTCATGATGAGGTATTGTCAGATCTGATGAAATCAAGGACGCATCAAAGGTGACCATACAACTGGCATGGTCTGAACCTTCTGATGTAAGAGTTTCCTCATCAGGTGCTAAGGGAATCTCTACATCAGATGTGATGTCATAGTTCTTTCTCAGTTTTGAGATATTCACTCTGACAATACGGGTGCCTAGATCAACACCTACCATGGAACCCCCGAGTTCGGAGATAACCTTTCCTTTTAGCCAGGATCCATGTTTGGATCCGGTTGATCCAATTTTGGATTTATCCTCTGACCAATAATAGACCTTATCTCCCAGAGAGAAGGGTCCTTCGGTCATCGAGAGCCTCGACGCGAGATCTCTCCTGAGGTCGTCAGATTGGCGTGCCTCTTGGTAGGCCTTGTTGGCAAGTTCCTTAATGGCTCTTGCTGTCACCTCAGTATCGGTAGGATTACCGGTCAACTGATTGGGATCTGCATTTTCGGGTGTTACAACATCTCGAGGACGTCTACCAAAGGCCATCTCTAGAGGAGTTACTCCCCCGTATGTAATTGAGGAGTTTCTTGCCAAACATGCCTGACGCACTAAGTTACCATACTTCATAGTGATACCATTATATTCTGGATCACCATCCTTGAGAATCTGAAGTATGATCTTAATCTGATGTTTCAGCAATCGTACAGCTGCCTCGGCCCTGTTGGGCCATGGTGTTCCAGGGCCTGTTGCTACAGGTTTGATATTCTGCCGATTATAATAGGCCTCCATTTTTGGAGTCATGAAGGCTTGATCTCCAACAACAACCCTTGGGTTGATTTGGTATTTCTCAAAATAATCATTCATGATGGACATTGTCGTGTGTTCCTCCTTGTCCTGAACAACTTCAGATGTCAGGAGGTTTGTCGCTCCATCATAGAGTATGAGAAATATAAGTCGACTAGCCTTGCCAGGAATTGGCAATTCACCATGGTCTACGAAAGTTAGATCCCCGAAGGTTTCGGATCTTAGACCTGATATTTTTGCCCGAGAAGGGGCTCGTTTGTGTTCCTGACAAGCTGAGCACTTCTTGACCAGTTGGTCATAGAGCTCATAGATTTCCTTTGGAATCTGAAGAGCCTTTGTCCTTCTTTTGAACTGATCTGTGTTCATGTGACGATGCTTTAGATGAAGCTTGTAGAGTTCAACTGGATCCTTGAGCTTCTCGTGAATCCTACGAAGGGCAATAGGAAGAGAGGGTGCTGGTTCAGGCACAATCTCTTCTCCGTGGTCTCTCTCACCTGCTGGTGAGTCGGTCCTAGGAGCAGGGTATTCTCTTGACTCAAGTGGTTCTACCTCCGTCCCGTGATCAGCTCCTGGGACAACAGATCTCTCCTCCACTGGAGGTTTAACTGCATATTTCTTCTTCTTGAGAAGATTTTCGAGACCTCTTGGAGTCTTTACCCTTCCTGGTGGAAGCTCAGGCTTCTCTTCAGAAGGAAGTTCGGGTGGTTCCGAAACTTCTGGAGGTTTGTCTCTTGAGCCTGATGCTGGTTCCGATGATTCGGCAGGCTCAGGTGGTTCACCAGATGGTTCTGGTGGAGGTGCCTTCTTTTTGCCAGGAATGCCCTTGGGTGGTGGATCTGCTGCACCTTCCGGTGCTTTGTCACATCCCTTCAGGAAAGTGTGAGGCTTCTTTTGTCCTGCACAAGCCGGACAACGACCTTCCGGGATCTTTGTGTAAGATCGCCTGTCTTCCTTCGGCTTCTTGGCTCCTAAGGCAGTTTCTGTTGCTTGGAAAGAAGAACCGGACTTAGGATTATACTTCCTTGTGGAAGTGAAGCTTAGGAGGTCAAGCACCAAGTGATTATTGGTACTAATCGGAAGGGGGGTCTTGTAAAGACCAAAAGCTTCACACGTTGCAAGATCCGTGGTCGGACTGCACTCAAGGGTCATTCTGAGATTCCTCATCTGTTCAATGGAAAATAGAATGGGAACCTTGCCTTGATCGAGCACCTCTATGGTAGTGTCCCGTCTGGGAGTAGTGTTGAACCACAAGGTTACACGCTCCTTGATAAGAGCTGTTTCACTATCTGCAAAGGAGAACTTCGTGTTCGAAGGTGAGAAAGTGAAATCAATCATGCCTGGAGCATGTTGCTTGACGGCCTTGATAAGCCGATTCACCGCATAGCGGGATCCCATGGCCCTTGTACAACCTGAGTCAAGAATGACAAAGGTAGGGCTTCGATCAAGATTGATCCGCTCTGTGAGAGCAGATAGGACGGTGTGCTGCAACGGAAACACTGCTGTTGCAGTCTCCACACCTGGCCCCTGACGTTCATCATGCGCCAAAGGCAAATAACTCTCTGAGGAGTTGTACACGGTATCATGGTGCGCGCTCGGATCTGTGCCTCTACCTGATGATCCTTTGTTGTTCCTTCTCTTCTTTCTCCGTGCTTTACGTTTTGAGGCTTGTGCATAGTACGTGTAAGACGTATTTTCGTCATAAGCGGCATAATTCCAACCGGAGTCAGTGTAATAACTGTCCTCGTACCATGAATCCCAGCTCGGTGTGGTGGAACCTTCATAGGCATGTGGAGATGCAGTTTGATCTCCTTGTAAGGAGGCAGACTTAGCTGTATCCTTACCTTTGCCCTTTCCTTTGGTGCCTTTGAAAGAGCTTCCTTTGTCTTCCTTTCCTTTTCCTTTCCATTTGCCTTTTCCACCTTTTCCTTTGTCCTTTCCTTTTCCTTTACCGAAATAACTGGAATCGGCTGGATCATGTTCTGCCTGGTTGGCTCTCCCTTTTCCGCGGTATGACCTAAAACGGCCACGTCCCTTTCGCTTGCCACCCTTTGCTCTTCCCGGTGATCCGGGACGCATTCTTGGTCTTCTTCCTTTCTTGAATCTCCTTGCAACGAAGGCCTCATGGTCATCCACTGTCCAGAAGACAGCTTCCTCATCTTCAGCGGCAAGAAAGCCTTCCTCAAGGGTGTCTTCATCTTGGAGCCAGAATCCATCGACTCCGTCGTAGTCACCCTGATCGAGGATGAGGAAGTTCCGACCTCCGCGTTTGCGGCGTTGGTCTCTCCTTCCATGGCGGTCCTTCTTGTGAGAAGTATGCCGAATGTTGGGATCCTGCAAACCAGTTCTGGTCGTTGAAAACTGATCGAACATAGTTTGCCGTACCACAGGGTATGTGTAGGTCTCAATTCGGTAACCTTGGTTGGTCAATGCTGATACCAACCTCTCACGTTGTATCTCATTCAGGTCGGACTGCACTAGGAACAGGAGAGCTAGGAGATTGTCATTCAGTGGAAACGCTCTACGATGATTATCATGGCGTTCCCTGTTCCATGTCTCAAAGAATCGTGCGGCATACTGGTCCCTCTCATGGGCATCCTGCAGGCGAGTGAAAGTTTGATCTTGCTGCACTGCCGCTACAAACTCCTGATTGGCATCTTCCAGGTTTATCTCTGGTAAGAGATCCATCCAAGAGTTTCGCAGTCTATTGAGCACGATCTCAAACTTGGCAATCCAAGTGACAAAGTCTTGGTTGCCTTTCCACGCCTTGAACAGGCCAAGGAACCGCCACAGGAAAACATATTGTTCTCCTTTTACGAAAAACGGACGCATCTTCTTCTTGAAGTAATCTACTCCATCTGGGGCTGCAAGCCTTTCTCGGTTGAGTGATTCCTTTTGTACTGCGGCCAATCCGGAGAGCCTCGTCTTGAGAGACGGACCTCTTTTGGTGTCATCCAGCGTTGTTATGTCGCACCAGTCGTCAATCAACTGTTCATACTCAAACCACGAAGTGGTGCCATCATAGGCAGGCGCGATCTTGGGCGTTATGCCTAATGATGCAAGCATGCGGTCAGATGTTGCATATGACTGCGCGACATAAGTGGCTGGACCTTGTGAGGTCTCCTCGTTCTCATATCCCGCGGAGGATTGGGAGCTGCCGTCGGCTTCGCTGTGCGAGCTCGACATGGTGCTGCCTCAGCCCGCTTTGCTAAGCGATCGGCTAAGCCGACCGCTGTTGCGGTGCTTTGTGAGGCGGGCGGCCCTTCCGGGCTCCGCTACCAGAAAACTGAGCCGATACACCCCTTTAGGATTACTCCTGTGGGAGTGTATGACCAGTTTGAGTCCCGTGGGATCTAAGGCAACGCCCAGCACACGGACAGCGATTGTTTTGTTCTGCTACGCAGAGAGAGCTTGCTACAAGTCGGTAAAACCACTTGAACCAGTGAGCAGCGGAATGTATATATGTGAGCATGCGACCAAGACATTGCTGTAAGTACTACCCCTTTAGAGGTTTAAGTAAACAGGGGGGGGGGGTGTTGTTCTGGGGGTGGGGGGGACAACAACAAGGGGGGGGTTGTTGTTCTCCCAACCCCCCCCCCCCCCCACCCCTCTATCGAAGGGGTATGTCTCTGATTGGGCCCTCTGGTCTCTGATTCGTGCTTTCCCCAATGCAACTGTATCAAATCATATGCGACGATTGCACAAAATGTATATGTCTGCATAGCATACTTATAGATCAGTGATACACACACTCCGCTCAGATACTAAACTGACGAAACCGGGCATACCCGCCCAAGCATACGGACGGGCAGGCGGGCATGTAAGCGCATTGTGCTAAACGCACATATGTGCGCGTTCATCTACATTTATCTGTGCACGGTGCACGGAACATCACAGCTGCCATGCTAAGTTCGGCCTTGTAACACCGCAGACGTCCGGGAGAGCCATGTTAAGTTTGACAGTGAAGTGGCAACTGAACGGTCGGGTCGACCTGAAACTGGAGAGTTTGCCAACACACTCAGGACACATGAGGGTGGCATGGGAAGAGATGTGTCGTGCTCTGGCTTTTGTCAATTCAACGCTCAAAGCATCACGGCACCGGCTGCGCCGCCAGCCTTATCTACTCAGCGACCAAGCCGTTCCTTTCCATTGCGCATCCCATGACAATCCCAGCAGCTAACCAGCGAAGCAAAGCTCGTCGGTCTGCAGTTGTCATGTCCTTGAAACTCAGGCCAAAGACAATGAAGTGTGGGCACCCAAGCTGAGGATTCCACCTCGATGGCAGCTCCTTGCTTGGCCGGATCCCCCAAACTTCCTTTGCGGCTGCTGCAAAGGCGTAGGATTGTCGAGACTTCTGCCGAGCTTCGAAGGAACGCGTTCAGCTCGGCCGGCTCGTTAGCCGCAAGCTCCTGTGCAGCCCGCGCTGCGCGCGCTTCCGCAATCAGAGGCTGAGGTCCTCATCTGTCTCATCCGGAGGCCGCATTAACCGCAAGATTGGAAACGGATGGATCGTCTTGACCTCAGAGGACGCTGCTTGCAGCTTTGGCTCCTTGGCTCCACTCAGCCTCCTGCGGTGAGGTTGAACATGCCCAGAACCAGCCCTTGCATACTGCCTCGGGGTCATATGACAACATTTTTCAACTTTCGACACGCTCCCTTTCACTCAGATCGGGGCGCTCCCTTGGCGCTGAAGGCCAGAGTGCAAAGGCATGGGGGCTTCGCGCAAGGGAGCCGCGGCTGTACCGGACGGCAACAGCCCCGCCAGTGTGAAGACGTGCATGTTGCCAAAGTCGAACATAGGCATGTTGCCAGAACTTCAATTCAATTGGCTCTCCGATCCTCCTGACACCTTCCTCGCGAGGGGTGAAGACACATGGGAGTTCTGCCGCTGGCTTCAAGCGGAGCCAGCTCGGCTTTGCTGCTAACACCTCAGGCGTCAGAACGGCTGCCTCGGCTGCCTCTGGATCGCCTTCTTTTTGAGGAAGTCTGTCAGCATTCCGCTTCCGCTTTCTATGCATCTTCAACATCTCCTGTACGGAGAGCTCGGACTCAAAGTCCCTGGCTCTGAGGCTGAAGTGTCTCGGTCTCCGCTGCAAGATCCCAGCAAAGGCCTCTGTCTCTCGCCCAAGTTCGTGCCACAAAGTGCCCAGGAACCAAGCTACCATCCAAAATCGATTTTGGAGAACACGGCTGCGAAGCCCTCCATGCGCCATGGCAGGCCGAGGTGTGCTGCTTGCCGATCAGCCGACACTGTGCCGTTTTGTGTGTGTGTGTGTCTGGTGGCTTTTAACAAGATCTACTCGAAGTGTCATGACGAATGACTAATTGACTAATCCTGACAACCGCCGCGAAAAAAAGATGCACCAGCAAGGCCCAGGCCCTGCGCACTGCAACTGATCCCGTCGGGAACTCTGAACTAGCAACTAGCAAACGAAAAGACTCCACCAATCACACGCCGCGTTTTTCATTGCATCCCTGCTTCGAACGCCAGCCCTCGAGTAACGGCTCAGCCTCAGCGGCTTAGCGCCTGCGCTTGCGGCTGCGGCTGCGAGGGGAGCGTGAGCGCTCCCTGTCGCGATCCTCCTTGCGATCGCGCTCTTTCTCTCGCTCTTTGCGGTCCTTCTTGCGCTCAGCACGGCTTTCCGGTGCGTTCCCGGCACCGCTACCGGCCTCCTCCGTTTCTCCATCACCTACCGGCAGCGGTCCACCGATCCAGAATCGACGATCTGAGTCACCGAGGCGAAACACGCAGAACTCTCTGGTAAGTTTCCTTTTCGGATCCATGGGCTCAATCGTCTCCATCTTCTTGGTCGCCGCCGACGTGTAGCGCTTGGGTGGCTTGCCATCGGAGTCTTTGAGATGGGGGTGCAAAGTCATACTCTCAACCGTGACGGGTCCATTCACTGCCTTGAGGAACCATCGGCTTTTCATGTAGTAGATGGCCGCATGCTCTGGCCTGACGCCTTTGTTGCCATCATAGACCATGCCATCCACATCCTGTGAGGAGCCAAACACGACGGCTGACATTTCGTCCAACGGAAGGGATCGGCTGGCAGCGCTCGCGTCAGACTTCACTTCTTCCATGTCGAAACAATACAGCATGAAAGAACCCGGTGGAGGTGCTTCACATCGATCTGGAGGCTTCCATGGCGGCAACATGTCCTTGAAGGTCTTCTTCTCATTGCTAGGCGGTGCCTGCCAGACGGGTCACTTGCGCGTACAATTCCCAACGACAACAGCAGCAGGATGCCCGAGCCCGCCTTTTTCTTGAAGGGGGACGGGCCCGACATAAATGCACATTGCGCCAAGGGACCGTAGGCCATGGCTAGCCGTGGGAAAAGAAAGAAACTCCTCTCACACCACAGTAGGAGATCAGCAGCTACCTCTCTTTGCATCGTCTGGAACATGTCGGTATATGATAAAAGTTCGTCACCTGTCGCAATCTCTCTCTTTGATTTGCTTTGCTAGGGGCTTGGAGCCGGAGCGATCTATCTTTCTCTCTCTCTCTCTCTCTCTCTCTCTGCGTCTGCCGTTGCATCCAGAGGGTCTTGCAGCGCCAGGCAACGCATCAGGTTCAGCCCCTGTCCGAGTATCAAATCATCAAATCGCGAATACATAATCAATGCACTGAAAAACTAGCGTACTGCAATTCCTGCAGGTCAAGTCAAACCCAGGAGCAGCAGCAGCAACACCTCTTTCTGTTTTCATGTCTCATTGTATTTGCGCAATAGAGTCGGAAGCGAACAAGTCGCCCTTTCCGGCATCGCTCAGCCTCAGCGGCTTAGCGCCTGCGCTTGCGGCTGCGGCTGCGAGGGGAGCGTGAGCGCTCCCTGTCGCGATCCTCCTTGCGATCGCGATCTTTCTCTCGCTCTTTGCGGTCCTTCTTGCGCTCAGCACGGCTTTCCGGTGCGTTCCCGGCACCGCTACCGGCCTCCTCCGTTTCTCCATCACCTACCGGCAGCGGTCCACCGATCCAGAATCGACGATCTGAGTCACCGAGGCGAAACACGCAGAACTCTCTGGTAAGTTTCCTTTTCGGATCCATGGGCTCAATCGTCTCCATCTTCTTGGTCGCCGCCGACGTGTAGCGCTTGGGTGGCTTGCCATCGGAGTCTTTGAGATGGGGGTGCAAAGTCATACTCTCAACCGTGACGGGTCCATTCACTGCCTTGAGGAACCATCGGCTTTTCATGTAGTAGATGGCCGCATGCTCTGGCCTGACGCCTTTGTTGCCATCATAGACCATGCCATCCACATCCTGTGAGGAGCCAAACACGACGGCTGACATTTCGTCCAACGGAAGGGATCGGCTGGCAGCGCTCGCGTCAGACTTCACTTCTTCCATGTCGAAACAATACAGCATGAAAGAACCCGGTGGAGGTGCTTCACATCGATCTGGAGGCTTCCATGGCGGCAACATGTCCTTGAAGGTCTTCTTCTCATTGCTAGGCGGTGCCTGCCAGACGGGTCACTTGCGCGTACAATTCCCAACGACAACAGCAGCAGGATGCCCGAGCCCGCCTTTTTCTTGAAGGGGGACGGGCCCGACATAAATGCACATTGCGCCAAGGGACCGTAGGCCATGGCTGGTCCCGCCTCCCGCCGCGTCCGGGAGTCTGCAAACTCGCAGATTGAGCCTCATGAAGCACCGATATTAGGTGTCACCTGTGCAAGTGTTTGATCCGCCAATCACGAAAGCAAATCAGCCTGACTCAAAGAGTCTACGGGAGCGCAAGAACAACGGTCGATCAAGTGCCTCGAATATGAAAGGACGGCCGGACACCTTTTCGATCGCCGGACATGCCGATCCTCAACTTTCACTAGCGCCTGCCAACCTTGGGTGCCAACGGACTTAGCCTGTACAAAGTGGTTAGGCTATGGTCATGTTAAGCTTGTTCTTCAAGCCCTCGATGCGCCGCTTTTGCGCCTGGGTTGACACTCTGCGCAGCTACGAGCCTACGAGCATTGTCGATTGGCAACCGGATGGCCTCGAGCACCGCTTCAATGTCCATGTTGACATCCGGGATGTCCGGTTTCTTTGCCCGTGCCTGGTTTACAACGCTGGCCCAAACAGAATCCCGCAGACCACCAGACTTGCCTGGACAGAGGGTGCCGAAGCCGATTCTGCCAAGGTGGTATGGTTCAGGCGTTGACTGAAACAAGTGAGGACTTGGCCTGCCATGGACCGTACTGGCGTCTGCTGCATCCGACCTGAGCTACCGGGTGCGGCCTTCCCGGGAGCTGCTTAGGGCCGCTGCTCACACTCAGCGCCGCACATGCCTTCTCGAGACGCCGAGGCATCTCCTTGACCTCCCGCTCTACGTGCGGCACCTGCACAAGAAACGCTCTTGGCAGGCGAGCCTGCGAAAAACGTGGCCATCACTGCCTCCGACGCAACGAATGCTTGCAACGGCAATGGCAGCTGCACGCCTGCTGAAGTATGCGAGACTTACCAGCTCTCGAGAGAACGCACCAGCCCGGCCGCCCAACCTTCCTGCCGAGGCATGGACCCTGCCCCACTGACACGGGGCCCTGGCGCGTTCCATGCACGAGCAGGTGAGGAGCTCATGTCCGAGCTGTTCTCGTGAGTCAAGATTATGATTACTCCCTTGGCCCTTCGGACGGAGCACAAAGAAAGCTTTCGGGCCGAAGGATTCTGGAGCAAGCAAGAGTTGTTCGTGCACGAGCCGGCTGAGGCGAGTAGAAAGCTCCGCTGCACAGGACTATAGACATGTCAGGGCAGAGGCGGTGTAAAGCCCAAGAAGCCCCCGGAGCCTGTTGAAGTTGACACATAATAAAGGGAGAGAACAGAGTATCTGCACAGATTCGGGCTTCTTTGTTGTATGGGACTCTTCGCTGTGCGTCAAGGCATGCCCGGTCGGCCTGCAAAGAAAGCAGGTGCAGACGAACTCGCTGCGCTTGGCGGCGGTATGTCGGCCCCCAAACGAAAGCTGGCGGAAGCGGAAGCCCAGTCTCCACCTGAGCCCGCATTTATGGAAAACAAGAACACCGCGAAGACAGAGCTTCACCTCGAGCCTCGAGTAGGAAGCGGTGGCCCAGCCGGTGCGATCCCATCTCGGCCTACAGGAAGGAAGCACTACCCGCTCTCTCTCTCTCTCTCGCTCTCGCTCTCTCTGCTCTCTCTGGCATAAGAAGAAGTCCAGCAGCTCGCACCTCGATATGCTCTGTTCGGCCTCACGCCAAGGCAAGGACCAAAAGGAACTTCGCCGGGTTTTTAAGTATCAGGCGCGACGGCACACTCCAGCGCCATGGGTGGCGGGGGCTCGTTGAAGACACCTGCGTCTGTGCAGCAGCCAGCAAAGCAGAGGCTCACGTTTTGCCTGCACCCTCGGCTGCTCTGCACCCTAACTCTAACAATGCAATTCGGACTGGCATTTCCGAGCACACAACGAGCACCAGCTTCGAGTGCTGCTGTGCTCTCGGCACCATGTAGCGCCTGATAGCCTGCGTTAGCCTGCGAACGAGGTCTGCAGCTCTTTTTGGGCGCGGCGGGCAGCACTTTGCTCCGCGGCATGCACTGTGACGTTTTCCAGCCGTCGCTGCGCGCGAACTCGCAACCCCCCCATCTCCGAAACGCAACCTCGCAGCTTGAGCACGAGCTTTTTGGCAGGCAGCTTGACATGAGAGCTGAAAAGAAGCCAGATATACAGTAGGGTTGTTGGTCGCTCCATCATTCCCAGAGTCAGCTACGCTTTGCCGGATGGGTCCCCTCTGCGCGAGGATAACTCTTGGAAACAGCGAAGCGAAGTGGCGAGAATTGACTGGCAAAACCACGCTCGCACAATTTCAACTTGCAGGCAGGGAAACCAAAATTGCCTTTCGCAACTGCTAGCAACTCGTACGAAAACAAGATCAAGCGGGGAAAGATATTGGCAGGCCTTTCTTACCGGGCGTATGCTGGCCTGACACTAGCGCGAAATAACGTACCAAAAACGTCGGGCACACTGTCTTACACACTACACTCACACGCTGGTGGCGCAGAATGCGGCCTATTGCGGCATGGCTGGTCGGGTCAATAGTAAGCACGGACAGGTCAACTCGATGAGAACAAGGGTCAAGAGCCAACAGGTGGTGGCAAGACCCTCGCATCGACACGACAAAATCGTGAACGGTGGAAATTCGGGGCTTCGTTTCTCTAACGTCTGATGCTGGACCTGAATGGCGATTCCCCGCCGTCTTGCCAACTGCCTGACATCACGAAAAGTAAATGGACTGTGAAACCGGCAACGAGCTAACGCACTTGCCAAAAAAAACATACCAGCAGCAGGCCTCTGGAAGGCTGGAGATAAGTGGGCGAAGGGGTCGGAGTGCTTTGGCCTGTGATCATCGCTCTGCAGCTGTTTGTCTGTCGTTTTGCAGGGTCTGCGTCACGCTTGTGTCTGCGAGGCTTATGGGGCTCTCTTTATCGTTCTGCCGGCAAATCGCATGGGCAGGTTAACCAAGAGAGTGCAGATTGTACACGTTCATGTAGGAAACCGACCCAGTATCATCCCTAATGCACGAACGGAATTGGCTTCTTCTTGTCTCGGGCATAGAGGGCGAGCTGAGGCTCCCAGCGAGCGAGGGTGGAATTAGTAGGTCATCTTCTGCAAGCTTCAATTCTGAAATGGCTCCCTGACCACGTATCTCCACATCATCTACTGGTAACATGTAACACAACAGCAAGAACTATGATAAACTGTTGATGATCACTTGGTTGTTGGGCTGCTAAGTCAACGTCCTGGGGACTGGGGGGGTGGCTGAAAACCTGGCATGTTAACAGTCAAGCGAATTCAAGCGACCATGGCAGAGCACAGATCACGAAACTTTTCCCTTCAAGCGAGAACATCATGGACTGCATTCACTGACATCTGCAGTTAACGTGTTTGCCTAATCCAAAAGTCCTCAAGCTTAAGCTAGAGCATCTTCGTGACGACATCCTTGACTCTCAGACTTCAACACTCCTCCTTGAAGGTGCCCCTTCGGGGTACCTTCACACTTACTTCATAGCTCTTCACGAAGCCATGCTGTCATGCACCCACTCCCCTTCTGCGCCAGTGTGGTTTCCAGCCTCCGCGGGTCTCAGTGGTTCGAAAGGTACTTAGGACAGTTGGAATCATCAACCCATCGAACTTCGTGCTGTCCTTCGCCTTTCCTGCCTCGGGGAAAATGGCATTGCACCCTCACACCAGTCGCAGAAACCAACGGTCTTGACGCTGTGAAATGCTAAGCGGAACCATGACAGTCCTGTCGAATATGCACATTCTTTCCATGCTCCGTCAGGTAGAACGGTCCCGGGTACCGCAAATACTCAGGAGGATCATTAGGCACATCAAGTGGCCTGAACACTTCCGCAGTTTGCTTTCCAACGGTCGCCGTTCTGACAGTAGGCCCTCCAGTTTTCAAGCCGAGCTCCTGACGGCCATGCGTCAATACTGGAAAGGTACAGGTACCCATCGCTGTAGTCAATGCACCATGAACCGCATGTTCCACTTCCTTGTGGGGGGACCGGCCATGGAATGCCTCTTGAGGAACATCCCATACACGATCCAACTCAGTCTCAACAGCAGCCTTGGAGTGTTCTCTCGTGCCTTTCTCCCTCGAACTGCACGAGTCCACAGGTAATTGCCTGCCCACTTGGCTACTTCCCAGCCAGGCACCGCAAGCAAACAGAAACCCATAACAAGCACCAGCAGCTCATCAACACCCGTCGCCTTCAAAGGTTCCCGTCGCCTTCAAAGGCTCTTTACCCTCGAATGCACGGGCCCTTGCTCCAAGGCCAGCGTAACCAGACTCAGCAACACTGCTCGAATCACTTGTAGTTGAACTGCTCCGGAAGGTAGGTTTTCAAATCCCCACATACGCAGTAGCTCCCACATTCTTGCCTTTGGATGACTCTTAGTCCCCAGATCAGCTAGCTGTCGAAGCCCTTCCACAAACTCCACTCGGAGCTGCCCGGACTCCGCGCTTTCCAGAATGTGCGCACTACGTACCTTCAAGTGCCGTGTGCGCCACGAACCCGGCCCACCCAGCAGCATGCTGGTAGCCGCTGTATTGTCTACTCTCAGCAGACGTTCCACTCGACGGCCGCAAAGCTCATCCAACAAACATGCCAGGCTTTCAGTAAGCACACTTCTGCGTTGCCTCCAACAGCTCTGCTTCCATAGTTGACAATGTAACCATCCCTTGACGGCCCGCTGTCCAGGCTATCGGACTGTCGTTCACTGTAACCACAGAAGCACCCCTGTGCATGATGTGCTGTGTTGTGGGCGCCGTTGTGGTTGTCCGTTGCTTTGCTCGGTTGCTCTGCTGCTGCCGTGTTCCCGAACTCGCCGAGGACCAACTTCATCTCCTTGGCGCCAGAGAGATAGACCAACACTCGTCGTCCGATCTTCTCTATCCTTTTCGGATGTTTTGACACCCATTGTGACATGTGTCCCACGACGAACTGCAAATCCGGCCGCGTTCTCATCGTAACCCAAAGCTGCTCTCTAACAGCCCGCTGACCCTGCTTCAGGTCCGCCTCACTGAACTGCTCCTCATAGGTTTCGAAGTCTTCAGTGATCCACTCACGAGGACATGGTAGTTTCGTGGGGCATGCCTCCGTCATCTCGTGAGCCCGCACAAGGTCCTCAATGTAGCCCGTCTGCTTTAGCTGGAAGGCTCCCGAGCTCCGCTGAAACACTTCTGTGCCCAAGTAGCGAACTCCATTGAAGTCCCGAACACGGCCACTCTTTTCGTACCCATTCATCCAACAGCTTCACCACAGCCGTACTTCCCAGGAAGAAAAGGTCGTCGACGCATGTGACCAAGAGGGCTACCAAGAAACCCTTTGCTTTTTCATTGCCCTGCTCATCGAATGCCATCCAAACCTCTTTGTCGACCTTGGAGGGCACTAAGGTAATGAAACCATCTTTGTAAGGAATCTTTGCAGATGCTAGACGACTCGACCGGTACGTGGCCCATATCGAAGGACTTTCTCTGAGTCCGTAGAGCGACCAGCACTCATCTGGTGCCGCGTAGCCATTGGCGATCAAGAACTTGGGGTGAATGACCGCGTATCGTGAGAGGTGGTCCGGCCAGTTTGCCAGGAGGAAGGCGGAGGAAATATCCGATGACGCTCCTCTCCACTTCCGAAAAGAAGCATATGTCAATGCCGCCCAAAACGTCTCAATAGAGGCGCCTCCTGCATAAAGCGACCCATAGCCCTCCTCCTTTTCCGCGTGGTTCCCACAAAGAACTAGCCTGTATCTCCTCCTCAAACGTTTCCCAGGCACATCTGGGGGCTTCATTGTGTGAACCCCCTTGCTTGGCACCAATCGTAGCTGCCCGTCACGTTGCATGGACATTGCCTCCTTGTAGGAAATCTTCCTCAAAGTCCCTGTATCAAACAAGCTCTTCAACTCCTTTTTGATGGTCTCATCCCATCTGTCAACACAAGCCTTAACCTGGGTGAGCGGTACAGTGTGCACGACTTGTACATCCCCATCCATCTTGTCGATCATCGCCTCATAATCAGGGTCCTCAGGGGTTTCTGCTGCCATTGCACATAATCGCCTGCATTCTGCCTCCCCGGTTTCCAGCCTGGTCTCCACATTCTTGATTCTTGATCATGTCCTCCACAGTTTGAGAAATAGTCGCTGCCTCATCCTTCACCGCGGCACTGGCTTCCCTTAGGTCTTCGCCCAATGCCGCTCCTCCTCAAGAAGGATCCTCAAGGCGTAGGCGCGCTCTTGAAGGTCCTCGATCAACTGCTGGTTCGCCTCGTTCAACACAACAGCTGCCTTCTCGACTGTCTCTTGCGCTTCCTTTTGAAGTAGGCCCATTCGAACTTCGTTGTGTTTTGAGGTGTCCATCACGGGAAAACCCAAGTCTCGAAGTTGCTGTCTGTCTCGCCCACGTAGGTTGAAACATCTAGGGCTATAGGCCACAAGCACATAACATAGCGAGCTCCTTCATGTGGTTGAACTTCATGCCATTGGCGCGGAGCAAAGTAGACCGCATGGCCTTCGTCAAACTCCTTCACAACACCATCTTTCCACAACCCAGGTTTCACTTGCTTGCGGTGCACCACTTCAATTCATCTTATTCTGAGTCTCCTTGAACCCAAACACCTCCTCCTTTGAAGTTGAGGGGGTACACTGCATTGTTTGATAACACTCGCTCTCGCTTACATCTGAGGCGCGGACTCGCATAGGCAAGCTCGCGCAAACAGCATCTTTTTCGTTTGCAAAGAGGGGGAGATCCGGTGCGTGCAGACATATGCCATGACAAGAGGCAGTAGCGTCATGACACCCATGACGAAGTCCCTCGAACAGACTCGGGAGAGCCTGCTGCATCAGAGCATGGACTTCAAGCACTTCTCACCCGGACGGGCTGGGCGGGCATCACTTTGACCAGACACCCTGGTCTTTCCCACCCTCCCATCCCCTTGATCGACCAATCATCCAGATGTAAGCAATGATGCTCATTTCATGGCATCATGACACTCATGTTACAAACAAGGCGCCACGAGGAATCGTGTTGCAACTTGTTTGATAACACTCGCTTTCGCTTACATCTAAGGTGCGGACTCGCATAGGCAAGCTCGCGCAAACAGCATCTTTTTCGTTTGCAAAGAGGGGGAGATCCGGTGCGTGCAGACATATGCCATGAAAAGAGGCAGTAGCGTCATGACAGCCTGCTGCGTCAGAGCATGGACTTCAAGCACTTCTCACCCCACTCACACGCGAGGAGTCCACACGCGCATCACAGAGCATCACGAACAAGGGCCCAGGGAAAAGTCAAAAGTTGAGAATTCAACGAGTCAACTAAAGTACAATCCAATCTCGATCGTGCGTCCTTTTTTTTCATTCACACGCTTTAGTCGAGTCGACTATTCAGCGGGCGCTACGTACCCGTATCAGCGAATGGATACAGGAACGGCCTTTTCAGGCACGCCGGACTACTACGATGCCGCTTCCCAGGGCGGCAGGCCGACTATTGCGGCCATGAAAAGAGAGCTAAGTACCACGTCCTACTGATCTCATTTAGGTCAGTAGAGTTAGCTACGACAGTCGGAGTGTCATCGTTCTGTACATGGAGGGCCGGATGGGCGTCGTCCCCGGCAAGGCTCCTTTGGAGCTCACTGTAGAAGGCAGCAGTCGGCTCCCCCGTGGGGGCCGAAACACCCATTGAGCGATAATGGCCTGAGTCCGGAGTGCATCCGATGTGATACACTACCGAGTTGAGCACATAGGTGCAGGGCTCTGTGTGAACACCATCGGTGAATGTGGGCACCTGCAGCCGTGGCGAGAGGTTGACCCTGTGCTGCAGTTTCCCGACTTCGCCTCTGAGATCCCCACTGAATCGCATAAGCTGAATGCTCAGTATCGGCGGGGGTCTGACGAGTGCCGTAACCTCTCCCGTGTCTTGCTCATAGGTCCAATCCTCAATGAGCTGCTGAAGAGTTTTGTTGGGCTTGCATGGTAATGTGACGAGTGGCACAGGGCTCATTTGCTGATGAGCATGAAGAAGGGGCCCTTCCGTAGATCGGGCTTCCCATGAGCCATGTATGCCTGGCAGGCGTGCATGATCAGTGAGGAATGTGAAGAATTCAGCCACGTCGTGTTGCTGATGCATTCTGGGCCACGTCCTGAGTAAATCAAGCCACGCCTTCCTCCGATAGAGCTGAACCGATCCATTCGGATTGAGAAGGGGTCTCAGTAGCTGATGAAGATCCCCAAAGTGAGAATTGCGATCTGAGGCCCGAGCAGTGTAGATCCACATGAGTGCCTGTACAAGCGAATTGATGTAGCACAGGTTATGTGGGTTGGCAAGAACAAGCAATGGAGGCGGTTCCAGATCAATGTGAGCAGCCACTAACGGATTGTTTGCAGCTCTCGATGATGCAGCTGCTGATGTCCCCGAGTTCTCAAGCCATTGCTTGAGCGTCCCCTTGTTCCCTGTGTTAGGGATATCCCCTTGCTGATGTGTCAGCTTCCCCTTTTGGGGGCCGAATTTCGGCTTCCCTGGATGGCTTTCTGCCTTCTGACCTCTTCTGTCATTGCGTTGCAGGTCTTCAGGCAGTACGCCTGCCGGCAGGGCTTCGAGCTGTTTCAGCTTCCCCCTGCTGAAAATGGTTTGTTTCGGGGCCGATGTTGGCTCCCCTTCCTCCCTAGTATCCTCCGGGGCCGGCGGCGGCTGCCCCTTTTTCTGAATTTTCTTCATTGATCTGTCTTCAGAAGCTGCAGGAGCTCCTTTGGTAGCGGTCGATGGCTTCGCATCGTCCTTTTTTTTCATTCACACGCTTTAGTCGAGTCGACTATTCAGCGGGCGCTACGTACCCGTATCAGCGAATGGATACAGGAACGGCCTTTTCAGGCACGCCGGACTACTACGATGCCGCTTCCCAGGGCGGCAGGCCGACTATTGCGGCCATGAAAAGAGAGCTAAGTACCACGTCCTACTGATCTCATTTAGGTCAGTAGAGTTAGCTACGACAGTCGGAGTGTCATCGTTCTGTACATGGAGGGCCGGATGGGCGTCGTCCTCGGCAAGGCTCCTTTGGAGCTCACTGTAGAAGGCAGCAGTCGGCTCCCCCGTGGGGGCCGAAACACCCATCGAGCGATAATGGCCTGAGTCCGGAGTGCATCCGATGTGATACACTACCGAGTTGAGCACATAGGTGCAGGGCTCTGTGTGAACACCATCAGTGAGTGTGGGCACCTGCAGCCGTGGCGAGAGGTTAACCCTGTGTTGCAGTTTCCCGACTTCGCCTCTGAGATCCCCACTGAATCGCTCAGGATCGGCATGGGTCTGACGAGCCGTAACCTCTCCCGTGTCTTGCTCATAGGTCCAATCCTCAATGAGCTGCTGAAGAGTTTTGTTGGGCTTGCATGGTAATGTGATGAGTGGCACAGGGCTCGTTCGCTGATGAGCATGAAGAAGGGGCCCTTCCGTAGATCGGGCTTCCCATGAGCCATGTATGCCTGGCAATCAGTGAGGAATGTGAAGAATTCAGCCACGTCGTGTTGCTGATGCATTCTGGGCCACGTCCTGAGTAAATCAAGCCACGCCTTCCTCCGATAGAGCTGAACCGATCCATTCGGATTGAGAAGGGGTCTCAGTAGCTGATGAAGATCCCCAAAGTGAGAATTGCGATCTGAGGCCCGAGCAGTGTAGATCCACATGAGTGCCTGTACAAGCGAATTGAGGTAGCACAGGTTATGTGGGTTGGCAAGAACAAGCAATGGAGGCGGTTCCAGATCAATGTGAGCAGCGACTAACGGATTGTTTGCAGCTCTCGATGATGCAGCTGCTGATGTCCCCGAGTTCTCAAGCCATTGCTTGAGCGTCCCCTTGTTCCCTGTGTTAGGGATATCCCCTTGCTGATGTGTCAGCTTCCCCTTTTGGGGGCCGAATTTCGGCTTCCCTGGATGGCTTTCTGCCTTCTGACCTCTTCTGTCATTGCGTTGCAGGTCTTCAGGCAGTACGCCTGCCGGCAGGGCTTCGAGCTGTTTCAGCTTCCCCCTGCTGAAAATGGTTTGTTTCGGGGCCGATGTTGGCTCCCCTTCCTCCCTGGTATCCTCCGGGGCCGGCGGCGGCTGCCCCTTTTTCTGAATTTTCTTCATTGATCTGTCTTCAGAAGCTGCAGGAGCTCCTTTGGTAGCGGTCGATGGCTTCGCATCGTCCGCGATGTTTGAATCGGACGGAACCCGTGAAACCCAAAGGTGAGTGGAATTCTCCAACACGACTGACGACAAAATCTGAACAAGTTTGTTCATTGCTAAAGCAGGGGAAAACATATTGACCATGCATGCACGAGCGGCCTCGTTGTCTATGTAACAGAAACACGACGTCCTTTGAGGAGAGGGGCAATCCTGCACACTGTCGCCACGGCCGCCATTTGCTCTAGGCAGGCGATCACCTTGGGAGATTTTTGTTGGACGTGCCGCAAGGGCGATTCGGGCACAGCAGCTGACATGTGATACATTCTCTGTCCGTCATTCCATTCCAGATAAATGACAGCCCCGACTGAAGCCACAGAATCATTGTCTTCGAGAGCCGCGTCGCTGAAGATAACAGCGCGTGTAGCTGACCGTGCTGCTTCTACATATCGGGGCCTGCAAACTCTGACAAAATCCCTCGCCCACTCCAGCTCATCCCTGAGCTCGGGGTTGATGCGCGAAGCCGAATCACTTCCACAAGCTCTTTTATGAAAGCGACGCATGCGCTGGCGAACAATGCGGCCGAACATGTGGGACTCGGCGAACTGTAATCTTCCGCGGAGAGCTGCTGCCACCGCCACTGTAAGCCTCCCAGTCGCGAGAATCTGGGCCACTTGAACCGAAATCTGCTCCACTCTGCTGGCCTTGTTGCCAACCTTGACTTTTCCCAGTGATGATTCAGATAAGTCCACACTGACGCCTAATGCATCGAATTTGCGAGCTGCCGGTCTCCTCTTGCTGTCCTTCCGCGAGAACCGCCAACCTAGCAGGGAGAGGAGCCTCTCTGCCGCATATTGTGCTTCGTCACCACAGGCCTCAAGGTCGATTTGAGGAAAATCGTCATAGTAATTCCCCCAAACGAGAAAGAACAGTCGCGAGCCTATCCTATGCAATGCACGGCTCAGTCGGTTGAACGAGTACACGGCCGAAGAGCCGCCAAACGGTAGAACGTTGGCAATGAAGAGTGAGTTCCCCCCGGAAGGGTTTCTAACAGTCAGAACTCCAGCCCACTGCGAAGCCTTAGCGATCAACATCTGCTTGTATGCAGCTTCCAAGTCGAGCGTCCGCCCGACAAGCGTTTTGGCTTGCTGAGCGGTCAGCGAAGAATGCAAAAGCCCTCGCAACTCGGCACCACTAGACAATCTAAGCGCGACCGTTCTGTCCTCGAACACAGCCTCGACAAAAGCACGACACAACACCACAACTTCATCGACTCCACCGAGGTCCAACTTGTAGGAGGACGCGAAACCTGCATTCACAAGTGTTTTTTTTTTCACACTCAGCGTCCTGTCCCGAAGGTCGCCTAGAGTAGGCCTAACAGGCTTACAGCCCGGAGACTCAAGGTCTCAGCCATGTCCGTGCCTAAGCACCAAAAGCAACACAGCAGATCACACCCGGTGTAGCACCCAAAAGCGATGTGATCATGCAGCAAACTACAGAAAGCGTAAAAGATTGCACTCGTGTGCACGACACACAAGTTCAGTAAGACTACAGAAGACACTACGAGAAAGGACCGGGCAACTCGTTACATCGCCAAGTCACAACGACTGTACAAATCACGGTACCTACTTGGAACGAGTACAGGCATTAGCCGGAAGTCACTCAAAAGTCAAGCACTACAGAACTACAGCAAGGCGCAGCACTCTAGAGTTACGGCTCACACTACCGCAACGTGGTCTCACTCATCTCACTGGAAAGCAACGGCTGAAAACCCACCTGCCGTAGGAATTGCATCTCGCCATCACTCAAGTCTTCCGGAGTTTTCATATGAAACACCGCGAGTATCACACGAACGCCAGTCCAGTGAAGAGTGCCATGCAGCTCACGTGAGTCGAACTCCAGAAAAGGTGGAGTCACCGCATGAGCCAGCCCTGGCAGATCAGTGCCCGGATAGCAAACATCCCCTGAAGCAGCATTGTAGCACCATAATTCACCGCCAGAGAAGCGGCTCAAGGGTATAAGCAAGTTGTTGCATGAAGGATGATTGTTGCCATCTCGATGTATGCCAGAATGCACATTCCGCAAAAGCGTAAGCGAAGTGAAGTGGTAATCCTCAGCCCCCTCGCCAAGCAGAACAGAGTGCACAATACGACAAAGCAGTGCAGTGACCCATGGCATCTGAAGCGCGTTGCTACGTACGCCGACCAAGCCACCAGCCTGAAAAGCACCTGTGGTGAATGAGAATCCACCATCCAGAAGTGTTTGATGTCCACGTGGGCTGTCATGTGGAAGTAGGTCCCACAACGAAGATAGCTGATCCTCAAAGAAGCTGCCAACGCGTAGAAAGTGCCTGGCCATGCACTCCGCGGTGTGACTAGGGTCAGGCTCGATCAGCGGCAGACTGGGAGTACCTACATAGAATGACAAACGCAGCATGAGCGGTCCATCATCCACACTGTCATCGCGAATGTATTCCACTGTATGTGCAGAAGAACTGGACTGCCCATCGGAATCAAGCACTGTAGGCGATGTGGGCTCATAAGGATCCGGCCAATCATGATAGTAAAGATTCGCATCAAAGCGCCCCTCCACAAACCAGGGCGCATAGATGGTGGCATCCGGATCATGTGTGCTCGTCATATGTTGAAAACCAGTGCATGCCCAAGAAACCATTGTGTAAATGATGTAGCTTGCACCGTGATGTATCGCGAAATGTAAGTTCATGCTGGCGCACACGAAAGAAAAGCTGGAACTGGAGTGCACCAGCAAGCATGCCCAGCTGTACAATGTGATGAGTCAAGAGTCACGCTGATGCACGGCCGCACTGAAGACATTAGCAAGCTCCACTGATTTTGCACTGAGAGCAAATCCCCTAGAAAACATGTCACAGCCGGTGGACCGTCACTCACTTCACCCCAGGAGTGACCTGTGCTGGCAGGGCTGTGGGTCCCCAAAATGAAAGAAGATCGCATTCATCCGACCAACAAAGGGCCAGACTCCGTTGTGCGCCTGCATACCAAAAGATAAACTGTACTGGACGAATATGGTGTAATGTCTCCTGAGGCCTTAGCCCTGAACTCTGGAACGGTATTGTCATCGCAATGAAGATCGCCCCCTGCTGCATGGAGCAAGGTGGTATAATGCCCTGCACTCAGATTGGGACCATGATGCGAAATGGCTGCTATCACATCGTAGGCGATCGTGCCTGATGACTGGTCATCATTCCCCCTGAAAAGTGGCATGTGAAGCTGCTTTGGCCAAGTGATCTTACAGGCTCGTTTTCTAATCCTACGTCCCGCCTGTACATATCTAGAAAAGCGCAGCAGCAGAAGAGCTGGTGCGACCTTCAAGGCATGTGGGTGAGCCTGCGTGTGCCAGCAGTGTAGGAGATACTGAGCAGTGTGCACTCGCCCCTCAGGTAGGTCGATTGATATCGCCTGCGTACATCGACCAGCATCAGAGCACTCACACCGAAACCGTCCCGGAGGGTCCTCAATCGTAGTGCGGGCCTCCCACTCTCCTTCAAACGCTGTGATGCCCAAGCGGTCAATGATGTGTGAGAAGAATTCTGCACAATCGTGTTGCATTGCCGGTGACCTCCATCCTCGAAGGGCAAAGTTGAACATCAACTGACCTGCGATAAACACGGGTTGTTGTTGGTGTTGCAAAAGTTTCTTAAGGAAGGTGAGCCCAGCGCTGTTGAAAGAGCCATCAAGCATGGGGTCCTGCACAATGGTCCACAGCAAGCTCCGTATCACTGAGTTCATGTAACAGTAATTGGAAGGGTTGCGCAGGATGAGCGTCATCATCGAAGCATCTCTGCCAGCTTCTGTACCGCCGGCGACCGGCGAAAGCCCTCCTTGCGTAGTTGTACCCCGCAGAGTTGAAGGGAAGCCTGCCCTTGAAGAGCTTCCAACAGCACGTAGAAGCGGTGCGCCACCTCCTTTCTGAATGACACATCCAGCTGGAACACTACCATGTGTCCTTGCATGTGTTCCGTCAATGGCCGATTCGAGAAGAACGCCGAAATCACCTCCGAGGTCGCGAGAGTTTTCAGCTCCCGCAGGGTGTTGAGGAGATCCTCCGTTGTCGTTGGGGTCTTGTTGCTGTCGACTTGCAAGCAATGCTTCTCGTGAGACCACTCCTGAAACACCCATGCTCCCGAACTGTTCATCCACCCCTCTGCCACAGCCTTGTCCTTCATCTCCGTGGTGAGTCCCTGGAGCACCGCCAGCATCTGCTCCACCAGATTCCAGAAGAGGACTGCACGCAAGCTCACGTGAGCGAACTGGCAGTCCGGTTTGACTACCTCGGCCTTCCACTTCATGGAGGCTTTGATGATCCCCGGTACAATGGACGGAGCTGCTGTCTTGGCGAACAACACCCATCCCGTCGATTGTCTCATAATCTTCAACTGGTCCTCGTGTCGCATGATGATCGAAGACAGGAGTCGCAACAGGTCCTCCATGCTCACCTCCTCCTGTTGCTGCTGTTGGCTGGACTCGGAAACAAAGCGTCTGCCCTGCTGGTGCCAAGGACGCCCTCCTTTGCCGCGCCCTCCCTTTTGGCCGTTGTTGAGGCGGCCCGTTTTGGTTGGGCGGCTTGTCAGGGGCCCTTGCGGAGTCTCCGCGTTGCGCTTGCCCAGGTTGAGGCTCGCGCCGAAGGCCATCAGCGGCCCGCTCTCCGCGACCAGAGACCCGAACACCTCCTGAATCGCCGCCTGTGCTGCACCGGGGGTCATTGCAGTCGCCATCTGCTGGGGGTGCACTCGTTGCCGGGGCAGAGGTATGGCTCAACACGCGCGCCAGGGCAGTCTGTGTAATAGCAGGACAGGTGATGGCATGCCGATTGCGCTTGTTGTAGGTACCGTTGCAAAACTGACACTTAGTTTCAAGCCCCTTTGCCCACGCCGCGCAAAGCAAGTCAACTTTAGGTTGAGCCTGACTCCAAACCACATGGTGCTTCTGGTCAAAGTGTTTGCGCAACCCTCTGGCAGTGCAAGATTCACGACACAACATACACTCCATGTTCCACGCCGGTATGTCATCCTTCGCTGGAATGGTCATGTCCAGCGTCACTGCCGCGTCCTCAGAAGACTCCACCTCGTCAGTGCTCACAATGAGGGCCCGTACCATACTGAGTTGAAAGAGGACCGGACAGGTGTCACGATGATCCGAGCGATCCGCAGCTGTACCCTGACACCACGAGCATGTATGCTTGATAGGCTCGAAAGAGAGACGGCGCCACTGAAGTGTGCGAGCCTGAAACTTCTGGGATTCAGTTTTGTGCACTCTGCCCCAGTGTATCTTGACGTATCTGGAATTGGGCATCCACTGTCTACAGCATGCACAGTGTGAGAGCAATTCCTGCCTTAGCTCGTCCGTCATCATGGACAAATGGAGCGTTTGCACTGGCAGCGTGCCATCACGAGCCTGTTGCAGAACAGAGGGTCGCTCCTCAGGGGCTGACGGTTCCGCCTGTCGTTGACCTTGGCAATGATTCTCTTCGATGTGCTTTTGGAGGTCCGCCCACCTGGCGAAAGGATGCCCGCAACCGCGGCATCGCGGCATGCCGTCAGTGCCATGTTGTTGCCTGTCGAAGACCGTGGGTGCGGCCTCCATGCGGTCCTTGCTGTGCATACGACCTTTGTGTTGTCGCAGGGCTGCATCATTGTCGAAGGATTGTCCGCAATACTCGCAAGTGAGCCTGTTCTGTGTACCATCCGCTTTGCCCTCCACTGCCTCAAGTTTCTTGAAATCCTCCAGCAGCCGACATTCCCGTTGTACAATGTCCGTCGTGAGCCGTACATCTTGTGGACTCAGGGTCTGACGCAAAACAGTGGTGGCTTTGACAACACGACTGTGGACCTGAAGCAGCATCTCATGGATTTGCGGTAGCCGTAACCTCTGAAGCAGATGCAGATCACTCTCCTCGGTGAGATGTCGCGGACTGCGCGCAATGGCCCGAATCTGCCTGACCATCAAAACCCGAATGAGATCAAAGGATTTCCTGTTGTATCCCGAAGAAGACAAGGAGTACAGAGTGGCTGGCAGGACAATGGTGCGCCACAGATGCAGCCTCTTGTCGAGCGATAGTGCACGGTGCGACATGAGAGTGGTACGTAGGCGTGAAAAGGCCGCTTGTCCTGCATGTTTGCGATGTTGGGCATTGAGCATCTCGTAATGGCCATATGAAATCACTGCTCCTAAGTAGATGTGGTCACGCTTGAGCGGCAAAGTCCATCTCTCATCGAGAACCAGCAGAGTGCCTTTAGGCTGCAGGCGTTTGCGCGTGATTTTGCGCATGAGGTGAGGCACCTGTACCCCCTCCGCCTTGAGCAGACATACGGTTTTATCCCGACTAAGACAGAAACCGAGGTCTTCTAGGATACTGAGTGCGCGTCCCGCCTCAGCACGTGCCTTGAGTAGACCGTCCCGATCCTGAAACTCCCAGCGCAAGTGTATGTCGTCTGCGAATCCAAGCAGGTGCTCTAAGCTCCACTCCGTACCAAGTTGTTGATCCAGTACATGTAGTACATAGGTAAACAAACAGCACCACAATGTTGGTGACAACTTGCATCCCTGACGGATGCCAGTGCTGGAATGATACTGCTCGGATGCATCGGCCTTGTCAATGTGAAAAATCGTATTCTGGGTCCACCTGAGAATCACATCTGTCAAGTCATCTGGCACTTCAAGAAATTGCAGGGCACGTACCAAAAGTTTGCGATCAGCACGGTCAAATGCCTGAGAAAAATCCACACTGACCTGCAGTCCCCCGGCACACGAGGACCGTTTCTGTCCCGCTCGTAGTTCGTACCAAGATCGAGTTTGGGCTCGGGCGGCAGCTCGAACTCTATCACAGTGCTCATAGACCAACGTGAGGGCCTGTTGCGGGGATCTGTTTGCAAGGTATCCAAAGAGCGGCAGCTTGGCAGTTGCCTTCAGCAGATACGGTTCGAGGTGCCTCTTCAAAACACCGCTGACTGCTTTGCCCATGGGGTCTAGCAGCGCGATGGGCCGCAATGATGCGGGATCGTCATTGGCCTTTCCAACTTTATGTAGGAACACCAGCCATGCTGCCGACCAATCTTCCGGGACCCACGCCTGATCTTCTCGCCATCCGGAGAAAACCTTATCTTCCATGAATGCAGCAACCGGAGCAGAAGCCAACTTCCAGAAGGCATGTGGTGCACAATGGGGCGGGGCAGCCTTGCTCGCCTGAAGATCACGTAGAGCTCGCTCAATGTCCTGCTGGATGATATTGTAGCTGGAGGCCTGCCCCGATCGTAGCAGGGACCTTGGTGCTCCATTCACCGATCTCCAGAAATCCTGTAGGGCACGGGCTTCCTCGGCCGGTGTGAGCAGCTTGCCCTCCTTGGACCGCAATTGTGCTCGTTTCCGGGCTTGTTTGGGCGCCACTCTCCGAATGAGATCAAAGAGCGCCTGACTGCAACCTGAACGTGTGTGAGCATCCGCTTCCTGAAGCAGCTGTGCCAACCTGGTCCTGCGTAGTTGTCGCGAGTGCTTTTGAACCACACGATGCATTTTCAAGAAACGAACCCTGTGCTTCCAAGCCTGCAAAATCGAACGGAGTCGCCCCACGCGAGAACGATTGGCCTCCTCGATGGACCTGCGCATGAGTCGATAATGGTGCCACATGTCCTTGATGCTGCCGATGTGTTGCGCCCCGGTCCAGGGCGGCGGCAAGCTCTGTGGCCGTTGTACATGAAAGACCTTCCTCCCGACCTCCAGCAGCAGGGCGTTCAGCTTCTTGGGCTCATACTTATCAACATCTTGCAACGCAATGGCGACCTGCTCCGTGTAGCGCTCGGCCAACTGTGGCTGCTCCTTGACAGCCTGTGAAAGGAGACGGCAGCGCCATCGAGGCCATTCAAGCTTCTGCTGTGGTTTCTGGGTCCTGAACCGCCGTACAGAAAATCGTGACCACACCGGGAGATGCCGTCCCCCTTTGCGCCAGCGCGCAACCTGCCAATCACGCAGAAGTCCAGACTTGCAATCATTCACAAGTGTCTCTGACATGTCATCAATGATTCTGACCTTGTCAGACTGCTCCAAGCCAAAACGTCTACTGGCTACAAACAAAGGCCCAAGCCGTTCCGCAACCTCTGATTCACTGTAAGGGCCCGATAGCCAGCCTTTGGAAACCTCGTCAACAGTGGCCGTCACCCGCATGCTCGCACATCGACTTGAACAGCAGAAACTTTTTGTCATGGACCAACTCTTCACGATCTGGGTCCATCGCGTTATGGATCTGCTGCTCAGCCTCTTCCAGCGAACGGCTCAACTGCTCATAGAAATCGAAAGCAGCTTGCCTACGTTTTCGGACTCCTTCAGGGCCTTCTGTCAGAAGGACGAACATTGCCCGCAATGCATCATCATCTAACATGGACGTGCCGTCAAAGGGGTGCTCTGCTTCCAAAGCTTCCTGCACAAACCTCTGCGTCGTTCGATACACGCCCAGCCTAGCCAACGGCAGCTGCACACCGCAGCGCTGCACACCGCAGCTGCTGGCATCCTGCACTGGGCAAAATAAACTGGAGTACCGAGGATCACCCACTTCACAGAACTCCAGTAGCTTAGCAGTTGTTTCAATGCTGAAATGTTGGCACTGCGACTGTGTGAGTTTCTGCGGCACGTTTCCAGGGCGTGCAAGATCCCAAGGAACCCAGATTTCGGACTCGAACTCCGATATAACTGGAGGTAATTTGTTGCCACGGGGTTGCTTGCCTGCCTGAGCCATCCGTCTTGATTGCTTTGCAGCTGAAGCATGCTCCGATCCTGTTGTCTTCACCTGCTGGGCTCCTAATTCCAAGGCATGCTGCTGAACTGCAACAGCAAAAGCTCGGCATCGTTGAGGTGGGAACTCAATATCAGAACCACTGCGCAGCTCACCCCACAGTGCATGCTTGTGCCCGCCCTGGCACGACCCGCGAAGAGCTTTCAAGGCCTGAAAATTGCACCGGATGGTATACCACCTGTTGCTGCGGCCACCCCAGATACATTGCTGAAAATGGACTGAATGCAGACCGTGTTTCTGCTGCAGATCTTTGAACCAACACGTTTTCCACAACAACGACTTGGTGGGATGTCCAACAGAGATAGCAATACCCCTGTCCGCACATGCGCTCAGAAATGTGGCAATCGTGCAAAAGATTTTGTTGGCAATGCCGACCCTCTTCTGATCGATTTCGGACAAGTCGTCCAAGCCCTCTGGCAAGAACTCTGAGCGCAGTGGCTTCAGTTTCGGCGTGTGCGCGAGATGGGAACGAGAGGACCTTCTCTCGCGCATCCTGGTCACTGTACCAGATGGAGGCGTCGCATGAACAAACATCAGTTCACCCGGTTTTCTGAGAAGCCCCCATAAGAATGCAGAAGCTTCATCACTAGCCAGGTCTAACTGAATGCAAGGATGACACTGTTTGCGGCGATTTCCCCCATGGTCCACTGCCAGTGCTTGAAACCCCATCCCACTCAAGCACGCCGAAAGCCTTGCCACGCCTGCCCCCAGCTCCAAAGTAAGCAAAGAAGAAAAGGGGGCGCCCCGAAAGGCGCCGTTATCAGGGAGAACATCCTTCACACTCGCACTCGACGGCGTGAGATTGGAAACAAGTTCAGCCGGAGGTTGCAATCAGCTCTTTGGGCAGTCACGTAAAGGGTGATTGCCATAGCATTTGATACACACATTCCATCCTTTTCGGCATTTCTCGCCGGCTGCTGCATTGGAGCAGCCATCGAGGTTGTAATCAAAGCACACTGGTTCGCCATCAGGCTTTGTAGCTGAATAACCGATAAGGCGCTCAGGCATCCGAACCGGATCACGATTGAAACCACGCCCAGGCCCTTGTCCTTTACGGCCCCCTTTTCCTGGGTTTCCTCGCCCTCGTTGTGCCTGCAGGTTCTTCACCTGACCCTGCAAGTTCTGAACCTGTCGTCTCAAACGCTCCTCCTCCGTTTTAGCTTTGGACGGGTCGGCTTGAGTTCGACGCTTACTCGAGGGAGCCTCCTTCAAACCAGCCTCATCTGCTTTACGTTTAGGGCCTCCCGGTGCTTCCACGGTTGTAGGCATAGGCGAACTTCTGGCGCAGCCATGGCGGCTCTTTCAAGTGGCAAGGTCCCATCCGCCAGCGGTTTGATGCCGAAGCGAGTCTCCTTCATCATGTACTTGAAAAGAGCCAAGTCCGCATTGTGCACCTGCTCAATCGTGACCTTTGCATAGTTCGCAGGGGGGACCTCCAAGAAAGCATCGATGAGAACCTGGGTCCAACGCTCCATCTTGTCATAGTCGATGAGTCGCGTTTAATTTGGTCGAAAGCCAGTGATCTACGTTGCAATGCAAACTTCAACTTGAGATCAGTGCTAGTGTCTGCCTTCAACTCGGCGGCTGTTTTGACCTCCTTGATGGCTCCGTTAGCGTCGGGCTTCCACACAGGGTCCGACTTGATGCCCATCAGCTCTTGATCTCGTTTGGTACATTGATCCCATCGCAGATAACGAAGCTGGTTGTCATCGTACATTTGTACGACTGCGTCAATCAACGAATGGCTGGCTTCAAGCTCCCCAACCAAGTTGAGGCCCCGGAGTCGCCGGACCTGATCATGGTGCCGTGATGCCCTCTCCGCCACAGCGAGCTTTCTCGGGGTGTCGTCATCTTTTCTGTCGATGCGGCGTTTAAGGTCCGCTGAGGCGAAGGTGTAGCTCTCAAACACGATCCTCCGTACCAAAGGCACCCGATTTGGTGGGGGCGGAGTGGTGTTAGTGATGATTGCGGCGAGTTCGATGAGCGGTTGGTCGTCGGCCTGACCCGGTGTGTAATTCTTTGCGAAGGCCAACCGCCCGAAAGTGTCCCAACCTTGCTGTTTGAATAACGCGATTTCGGCATCCGAGAAGCCGATTTCTCTTGCGCGGGCCTCAAACGTGGCCTGAGAGTCCAACATCAGAATTAGGAGAGTTGGAGACACTACTTGCACGACTACACAAACACCCTCAAACCCGGCTTGAAAGAGGAAACACAGCAACACGCAAGTCCTGCTCCAGACCTCAGCGTGACATTCGCAAGACTCCTGCACTCACCATGGGGCTTACAGGCAGCACACGCTGACGTGGAGCAAACACAGAACAGTAATTTGTTACTCCATGTCTCCGCCATCCGAATTTCAAAAAGGAGACCAGGGAGTTTTTCACACATAACATCAAAGAGGGCATGGATGCTGCTACACACCGAAGCAGTCCTTGCAATGAGGCCATGCCTCATCAGCTCTTCCTCTGAACACGGCCATTGCCGTTGTTAGAGGCCTTCCACAGGCGAGCTTTGCCCTCGACACGGCGTGGCCCATCTAAAGGGTACGCCTTTGCCTATGCCTGTACATAACTGACTGATCTGCATTGTTTGCCTTCTTCCTTGACCTCTCTACACAGAGAGCTGCAAACCCCTTCTCATGCGAGGATGCCGAAGACTCAGACGACTCAGAATCACTATCAGATGAAGTGCAGCTCGGGCTTCGCACCTCCATGCGAACCTCCGGCAACATCGCCGGGCGGACCTCGGATGAGACACCCTCATCCGGCACATCACCGTGCACATCTGACTGATTTCCCTTCGCTGGGTGCATCTGTTCAGACTTGAGAAAACACTTGCCCGAGAGCACTTCAATGGCTTGTTTCCATGTCATGCCGATGTGTTTTTCGAACTGGGACTGCGCACAGATCTGGTTGTCAATCTCGGGGAAGAGGTTGCCACGGGAGTTGTCTAGCGTGAAAGATCCTTCAGATACGCACGAAATCATTTCCGTGAAGACTCTGATCGGCCGTGCCAAAGCATCCCGAGTGTAATTGAGTACTGATTGCCGCCCCGGTAGAACATGATACCCCAGCAGCTGCGCTTCATCAAGATAGTGATCTTCGCCATATTTGTTGAACATGCTTAACATAGTTGCTTTAAGGCTGTGGCTGGAATAGTCTTGCACTTCGCAACTTGGACAAAAGTTCGCGTAACCGCTGCGAGACATCTGCAGCACTAATTGCAGACTGCTTCCCGGAACCCACGGTTGCCTCGCTCGGGAAGAACACGAACTTCTCCCTCTCAGTGATGCAAGTCCTTCTGTCCCGCTCAGTGGGGAGCGGCTTGAGTCCTAGCTGAGATCGTGCTGATGCAAATGATTCCAGCCAGCTGAAGCCAAGGAGGCCAATGGCTGGCACAACAACTGGCAGAAAAGAGACTTGTTTCTCCTTAGCACGGGCAGTCTTAACCTTCATGAGACTGCCTTCAAGGAACTTGCCTTCAATTGAGCCACATTCCAACCTGTTCCCATCAGAACATCGCATTCTACCAAAAAGAAGCATCAGGGCAAACCCTGCGAAGGCCCGAGTGTACAGTGTACAGGTCGGACTCATACTCCGCAGCCAACTCCAAGATACAGATCATCGGGATTGTAAGTGCCGCCGGAGCTCGTTTGAGCGGAGATTTACTGACATACATCAAATGAGCAACGCCTAGGGCCCTCTGAGAGAAAGCCGCAGCCTCTGCATCGCTCATACCCATGAAACCAGACAAGAATGCAAGAGATCCCATGAAAGTTGACCCCCGCGTGGCGGGAGCACCTACCTTTCGCAAGTGGCACAAATATTTGTAGACACTTTCCTCTGTTGGAGGCAGAGCCACCTGTTGAGGAAACTCGCTGTTGAACCACTTACAAAACAAACACAAAGAGTTAACCCGCGTCCTCAATGTAGACGTGGATTTGCGCGCTAAGTGATCCTGTAAGATTTGCCAAGCTTGATTTTCATCTTCATGCTTGCTGGTCTCATCGATCAACTGACGGCCAGCTGCCGTTGTGCCCCCGGATTGATAAGGAGCAGCTCACTCCATTTTCGTAGCGCAAGACTGCGATCAGTCGCTGCGCAACTTGATGCGGCTCGGTCGATGTAAATGCGCACTTTAGCCTGCTTCGACTGCAGGGTCATCGGCTCACGTTGTGTTTCCAGGTATGGCAGATTGGATGGAACAGCAAGATGTTCCAGCCATGGCGTCACACTAGCTCCTAAGACATGTTGAACGAAGGGCGATTGTTCCCATGGGAACGTCGGAAGCCCCACGGGTCTTCCCGCCATACGAGCGATCTCGAGGAATCGCTGCACATCGAGGTTCGGTGGGTCCTCCACTTTCCTTCCTGAATCACTCCCGTTCATCACTTTGACCAGACACCCTGGTCTTCCCACCCTCCCTTGATCGACCAATCATCCAGATGTAAGCAATGATGCTCATTTCATGGCATCATGACACTCATGTTACAAACAAGGCGCCACGAGGAATCGCGTTGCAACTTGTAGCTTCCTGGTTGACTGTGTAGATCTCGGTGACAGCCCAAACTTGAGATTGTTACTATCCCGCCTGCACCAAACTGCTGAACACCCGCAATGTCCTTGGCAAACTGCGCCAGGTACTGAGTGACTCGTGGTAACCGCTTTGCCCCATCACGTAATCCACATACTCCGCCATGAGAGAACATACCCGTGATCCACGATCTTGAGAACAACTGCCGTGCCTTTTCCAAGCACTCGTACAGCTTCAACACTGCCTCATGGCTGTAGTTCCCACTCACAAGGTTCGCCTCTGCCATCGATTCCGCTTCCTTTTCTGGTTGCGACAACGGTCTCAAAGCCTTCAGAGTAGACTTGCCCGTAACACATCGTTCAGGGACCCCCGACGGTAAAGTTGCATCCATTTCATACTGGAACACACGAAAATACACGCCGCCAGGGCGTACCATACTGTTCATAAAAAGGACCAGGTGGATCATAATGTGGACTGGTAGGTTGTCAAAAAAGATCGTCTACTGAAACTGGCCCGTCCACCCAGTCGACTGGAAGCTCTAGGTCCCAATCTTCTTCGCCAAACGCTCCAGCTCCTTCATCTCTGCCATCTTTCTCAGGTGGATCATGCTGTGGATCGAAATCTTCTGCTGGTAGGTTGTCGTGATCTCCTCCAACTCCCGGTCCACCATCCACCGTGGTAGACGCCGTCTTCCTTCTCAAACGCCTCGACGGTGAAGGCAGATCCATGTCCACCTCGTCGAGCAACTCTGGTTTTCAAGTGCATGCTGCTGACATATATCTTTTCAGGGTACCGGACTGTATGTCCGTTTCGTATATCGGGCGCCGGTCCCACGTAGATGCCTTCTTTCCACCGACCATCTAAGTCGTGTTTGTCCCCTCTCCCGAAGACCTTGTCCCGTACGTGGACAGGCGATCCAATCGGGATGACAGCAGCTCCGTGAGATAGGGCGACTTCCCTTTGCTGGTACGCCCCGAAGGCCATGGCCCAAGGCCAGCAGGCCCTTGGCAACCCTGCTGCCAGTAGCAAGGTTTTCGCTCGCCTTTTGGCCTGCTTCACAGCCGCCTCCGCTCGTCCGTTTGTCTGAGGAACTTGTGCTTCTCCACACGTGGTAACACATCTCGGTGAAGCAGCCATGCTCGTAGATCAGCTCCTCGGAGTTCCCGCGCACGATCACTGTGAACCCTGGTGACCGGAAGGCCTTCTGCCCGCAATTGCAAGTAGAGCGTCCTTACCGCCATGTCCACCTCCTTCATCAACCGAATCCTCAACGGGATCGCGTAGTGCAGGACCTGGTACTCCATCGAATCGCCGATGCCTTTCATGAGCTCCTCGTAGCGCTCCTGGGATTTCTTGAGTTCTTCTTCATCCTTTGGATCCAACGGCTCAGCTCGTTGATAGACTTCTTCCACCCAGTATTCCTCCTCAATAGCCGCCTCCTGAGGTTCTTCAACTGGAGCGTCCTTGTAGCCGCTCAGCTATGGCATCACACAGGCCCCGATCAAGGCGTACTTGTAGCCCTTTGCTCCTGCATACCCGCCTTTCACCCGGAATGGTCCACAAAGGTCTAGAGAAAGGACGTAGCAAGAGGGAGCAATATCCCTCCTATGCGCACGGCACGTGGCACTTGTTTCTATGCAGGTCTTGCAGCGCTTCTCGAACGGTAAGTGATTGTTTCGTGGATGTCGTATCCACCTTGCCTTTTCCGCCTCGGTCATCCCATGTAGTGGCCTTAGTGGCCCATCCATTTTCTTCATCATCCGAGCGATCATCAAGTCATTCGGGAACCGACGCCATTGCACAATTGCCTCCACCAAGTTGTGGTAGAAAGTCGGAGTCCATGTTCTTCATTGACGAAGGCGTAGGCCATCACACGGTCTCTCCGTCGGCAGCTGCAGGTTAGTCGCCACCAAGAAAGCGTTGCCACCATTGGCGTCGACAGTCTGCGTCAAGGGTAGCTGGTACTCATGCTGGAAGGCCTTCCACTGCTCTCCCACCCAAAACGCCTCATTGTCCTTGCCGCCCATCGCCCATCGCTAGGTGCCAGCTCACAACTTCGATTGCCTGCCCTGGCCACCATCCATAGCCAAATCATCTTGTTCCTGAGCTCGTCACCAAAGTTGCTTGGAACCGTACCAAAGACACCCTCAATCCTTCCATTCAACGCTGCCCACATCGAGGCCTTGTAAGCCGCGCTTTCCCCTCTGAGGCTGAAAAGCTTGCTCTTGTGAACATTGATATCCACGAAGATCCCACCCTTGGAGTTTAGCGACTTGATCTCCGTGTCCCCTTCTTGCGCAAAGAGCCGCACAGCCCATCGCTTCTCCAACATGGACTTTCTCAAGGAACGCCGAATCGGTAGGGCCTTCACATAGTTCCAACCACTTTTGACATCCATGTACACGTTGATCGCCACCGTTGCAGCCATCTCTGAACATAGGTCCCATTGGTGAACAACCCGAAGTCAAAGCCTCCAATGCATGGTTCCGTTGGCCTGGACATACTTTGCCATGCTAACACCCCACTCCTTGGCTCTTCCCACATCCATCAGCTTCACATGGGTCGTCGCGATGTTGGTCTCAAGCTCCTTCAGCTTCGCCTCTTCCAGTTGCGCAATCAAAGCCAAAGCCTGAGTCTCGCCAATCATGGGGTGATTGCCACGAACAAAGGTACGAAGCTCCCCAAACTGTGGGCGTGACACCTTGAGGCCCCCTTTTCTCGTCCAAACAAGATCACAACCCAACTGTTGAACAAGTGCCCCGAGTGGTAGAATCGGAGTGGAGTCCACAGCACCCTCTACATCCTTGGTCGCCAATAGCGTTCCAGCTCGGTTTTGCTTCAAAGTCATATACTGCCCTCCCGCGAGCTCGACCTTGACTGGTCGTGCTGCACTCTCCTCTTCCTTGTTTTCAGGTACTCTAAACGAGTGGGAGGCAGCAGAATCTAGGAGCGCTGCTCTCTCCTTGTTGTAGTGGTCCAAAGAGCTCAGCGCCGTGGTCATCTCCTGCAGCTGCTTGTCCGAGATCACCACCTTGATCGGAGCCAGCTTTACTTTGCGAGTTTGCTGAGCATAGCATTGGCTTCTTGCAGGAGGGCCTTGACCTGGCTCTCTTCGGCCGCTCTCGCTTCCTCGCGGGTTGTAGTAGATGATGAAAAAGTAGCCGCATTCTGGCCCTGGTCCACTTGAGTAGTTGGAGCATTCGTCACAGTGGCCGTCGCCACCACAGGCGCAGTTGATGTAGCCGGACTCGTGGGTTCTGTAGCTCCCTTTTGCTTGGGGTGCTTGTTCTTGTTCGCCACTGGACAATCAGGCTTGCGGTGTCCAACAGCCCCACATTCCCAGCATCTGTTCTTCTTGGCATCCTTGCTGCCGAAAACATGATCGTACTTGCACTGCTGGCCCCGCCTTCACGTCCGAGTCCTTCCCCGAACGTCCCAAATACGCCCATACCCTCTGCCAACAAATGCAAAGGATCCCCTTCACTAGTTCGACCTCCCTCTTCCCCAACTCGCCTGGGCTCGGCTCGCTCCCCACTGGAAGGCCCCTTTGCCAAGACTTCCACCGACATCACGAAAGAGGCCAGCTGG